AATTGCAATCTGTTTTTGTTAAGACAGTACTTGATAGAATCTTTAAAGCAACTCTTACACAAAAATCTTGGACAAAGCTGTACATGTTTGAGAATAAAGTGAGAAGAGGGTTTCTTTACAACAAGGCGGCGTTTAGTGGCTGCAAGAGGCAGGAGTGCTAAGTGTTCTATTCATTCTTTTACAGGTACTGTAATCAGGTAATCCGTTTCCAAAAACTTGATTAGGATGCTATAAAATTGTCACCTGCAGCTTCACAAACATAACCAATAGGGCTACTTGCACTAATGTTGTAGTTGGGTTTTGGGGGTATTCTACATGTTTCTTCATATTCAGATCCTAGATGCTGCTGTTTGTCAGTCCTGTAATATCAACCAAACATCACCATGTATCAGAGTACATGGCATACAAAGTAAGTAGGTTTTCACATTTCCATGATCGGCCTGTGCCGCTTAAAATTTGTTTGTACTTTGTTTGCATATCTAAAGTTTTCAGAAAACGTGACCTGGAGTGATGTCAGCAGCACTAGTAAACACCCACATTTCCATGTATGTAAATTGAGTGTGTATGACTTCACAACAATAACATGTAAAAAAAACAAATGCATGACAACAGGCGCACTGCTTTAATCACCTCAGGATGGTTTTCAAAATGATCACAGAAACAGCATGCATACAGGAGATAGTTTCCCTCAGTTATGCCTTATTCGTATGCTACCTTACAGCACCCAGGCTCATATATTTAGTGTAAGATGTAAGTTTTAATAGATTAGAACATTCCAAAGTAGCATTTCAGATACAGATGTCTGTTTGGCTATCTTGGGGACCACAGCAAGGTGTGTTTCTTTATCGGGTTTTATGCAGCCGACCTCAGGAGGTGGACAGTGGCAAAAAAAAAAATTGAAGGCCAGCCCTTTAACTCTTGCAGCCATGCTGCCTCGGTTTTTTGCTAGTGTGCTAGGAGGTTGCAAACGGTTTTCTCCTCAATGGTGAACTTTTTTTGATCGTACATCACAGGACACAGAGTTAAACCAGTGGGTTATACAGCTACCTTCAGGTGATTGGACACATTATTCAAAAGCTGCAGGACAGCCCTGTATAACCTTTCCCAGCCTGCCTTGTTTTTTTATTTTGGCTAGTGCCCCTCAGTGGATTGCTTTTGCTCAGCTCTAAAAGAAGTGTACCCCTTTTTTTTTGCAATATATTTTTTACAAGACTCTTCTATAAAGTTTGGCTACTAAACCACTGCAGTCCCCCTACAGCTATCCGGATCGGTTTTCTACGCTTGTTGGGTGTGCTACAGGCCCAGGGCTGTGAACCATCTAGGTGGAGCCCTGACCATGAAGACCCCCTAGGGGAGTAGGAAAGCTCCGATACCATGTCTCCCCTGCTTGGTAGGGCACCCATGGTAAGAACCCAAAGCCTTGCCCTTTAGGTGACCAGGCAGTGGCCCCAGTTCTCAAAAAATTGGCAATTCTGTGGTTCTGGTGCTATGGTAGTGCAAATTTTTAATTTTGGTGGCAATTCAGTTCCCTTAACACTTGGGGTCCACAGGCCACTCCTGCACAACTTCCTGTCCAGTTATCTTTGGTGCATGCTGTGGCGGAACACATTTCTGTTACCATCGTGACTCTGCAGTCACATTATGGAGATGGCTGCTCTGCTGCACTGCGCGGGTCACCTTCCGGCTGCACATGTGTGGACACAGGGCTACCTTTAAACCAAGATAGTGAATTTTGTTCTGGGGCAGAAATGGTGGATCATTGATGCAGACATGCCTAGGTGGGGGGAGCCACACAACCTGACAATGGCTCTAGTGGGGTCTCTACCCTCTCTGGGAACACTGTCTCTGCTAGTCCCATGCTTTTCTCCCTATTCTCTTTGCTTGTAGCTTCAGGGTTCTCCTCTGCACACTTGAGAGCAAGGACAGATTTGATACTCTGGATACATCTAAACCCAGGTACACTTACATACAGGATAAAGTGATCTTGGAAGTATAATCAAACATCACAGATCACTTTCTTCAACATTAACATGTACAAGTGTTTTAAATAAAGCAAGTATGAATGTAGCTGAAGACTGTGCAATGCTTTGGTAGGTCATACTTGCATAGCTTGATGGCAATTGAATGAATGTGGTCACTCGTAACTTGACATTATGGTTTGACAACTTAGTAAGTCACTTTGAATGGCAGTCCAACTTCAGGCGGTATCCTCCAAAAACTTCAAACAGTGAACCTTTTTTACATGGATGTGGGCTGTTACCCCCTGTGACGGACCGCCTGGTACCCCGACTGGGTACCTCCGTCAGAAGTTAGCTTCCTCTCCGCTGGAACCCAAATTCCACTGTCATCAGGCCAAACCTGACTAATTATTGGACAGACCCAATATATTAGGACAGAACGCTAACCTCCTCAATCATCAGACAACACCAATGTTGAAGAGGAAATCAAGAACTGCTTTATTGAAGGAAGCACACAGAGTTTATACCTCACAGGATCTGATGGGAGTTCAGTGTGTCCCCTCCCCTAGACAGCTAGGTGCCACATTGGAAGTCTTTTAAGCACAGACACTCTTTGAACAATGAATGCCCTTAATTAGATCATCCCAAACAATGGCCCCTCCAGACAGCCTGCTGCCTATACTGAACACAGTGATGTGTGTCTGTAATGTCGGGGGAAACATGCAGTATACAGGTGAAACTCGAATAATTAGAATATTGTGCAAAAGTTCATTTATTTCACTAATGCAACTTAAAAGGTGAAACTAATATATGAGATAGACTCATTACATGCAAAGCAAGATAGTTCAAGCCGTGATTTGTCATAATTGTGATGATTATGGCTTACAGCTCATGAAAACCCCAAGAACCCCAAATCCACAATCTCAGGAAATTAGAATATTGTGAAAAGGTGCAATATTCTAGGCTCAAAGTGTCCCAGTTTAATCAGCTAAGTCAAGCCACTACATGAAAATGACTACAGAACTCTCTTTATTTTTGATTGTAAGGTGATTTTTCTAGTTAGTGACACTAAACTCAGGAGTTAAATCTTAAAAATGCAATTAAGTACCTTTAACTATTTGTGCGTCACTTTGCTGTAGATCCCTAAAACATCTCTGAATTGGTGCTGGCACTGTCCCTCCTTCTGGAGGGTGGCCACTTTTGTTTCCCATTGGCCCTGTGTGTTGTAAAGTAGTCACTGCTCCAAGCTCGCTCCTGTGATAGCTAATTTCTATTGAGATTATAGTATAACTAAACAGGAGATTGTAGTCCATCACAGGAGTGAGCTTGGAGCGGTGGCTACTTAAAAACACAGTGTCAGCATGAATTCACAAATGATTTGAGGATCTACGGCCGAGTGATACACAAATAAGATACATTTTTGTTAATAGTTAAGGTACTTGAATGCATTTTAAGGTTTAACTCCTAAGTTTAGTGTCACATTAGGAAAAATAGATGGATCTGGTTTTCCATTAATGACTTCCACAAATATCGGTCAAGGTATTCCACTGAATTGTGACCTACCCACCTTCCCCAGCGCTGTAAACAACCTGGTGTTTCCTGTTGAAATTCTCCTCACACCCGCCATCCCATTTGATGATGGGCCAAAACTGACCACTGATATGTGTTCAATTACTGCAGCCTTCATCTATGCTTAGAACTCACCAGTACTATAGAAACATAGTCTCATCTTTTACCTGAGGAGAATATTGGGTGAACGCTGATCGTCATTATTTTATGTTTCTGATGCCTTTCAATGCAAGTGGGTGACTGAACAGACCGAACCTGAGTAAGGTTTTTATTGAAATATTATTCCTTGAACGATCTGCCAATATTAAATAGACCTAATATAATATTTACATTTCAGTGTCCTGAGAAAATACAGATTCATTTTATTTTACTGATAAAAACAATAGGAGACCATTGACAGCCATGCAAATCATTTCTACTACATAGAGGAAAGCCAGCTGATTCATTTTAAAACAAGTTATGGTGGGGGCTGTGGAAGTGTGCAGCCCCATTCTGCACTACCTAATGAATACCTGGGATACAGGAACACACACACATGGGCATTAGTCCAAAAGACAGATAGTGGGCGATACCACAAAACTGACTTCTGCAGATATTTATTACATTAAGACAACATACAAGCAGGAAGCTGCAAGACACTTTCATGCATTTCATGTCTGATTACGCTTAGTCATAGAGAATTGTACAACCATCTTGTCCACTCTATGATCAAGCTGTCAGGCATGAAATGCGTGAGCATAGGGTTGCCACCTGTCCAGGATTCACCCGGACAGTCCGCGTTTAGCATGTTGTGTTTGGGTTTCATGGCAGCAGAAACCCGGACATAAGATTTCAGGCAGTCATGGGCAACCAAAATTCAGATAGGGGCTACTGGCCCCCCACTGAAAATAGTCTCAACTGTGATATTTACATATGAATGGGTGGTGCTATTTACATATAAATAGGCCATAACTCTCCCTAGAAAATGTTTGCACTTCGTTTCGCTTGAAGAAAAGGTGGCAACCCTACTTGAGCACCTTCTTCTTTGTATCTCAGCTTAATGAAATGAAGAATATTTGCAGAAGCTGGTTTTATGCGATCAACCAATATGTACCTGTTGGATGTTTTCAGTGACAAGTTTGGCAGACACTCAGCAGGCAAGTGGACCTAACTGGAGAGGTGACACTTGTGTTGTACACATATATGGATATTTAGACGTTGTTTTTTTGCGTTAGCTGCATGCTTAATACTTTTAATCCTGTTTCTAATGCTTTTTTTTTTTACGTTTGGCCCTATCTTGGTAATAACAACTGAACCACAATAATTTATTCAGTGATTTAATTGCCTACTGCTGCTAATATTAAGACACAAGTTTGCTGCAAAAGTCCGTTTGGGGCGCCATTTTTCTCCTATTAGAAGCGAGCCGACACACCTTCGCTGGAAGACGCCGCTGCGTCACTACGTCACTAAAGTGCGACCCGAGCTCCCACCCTGTCCCCGTTGAGGGTCATTGGAGCAGCATGAACCGGTTGCTAGGAAACCTCCGGTCCTGTTGTCGGTGGAGGCTGGAGACAACGTTTCCGGCTCGTCACTACAAGATAGAGCCGGTGACCCGAGATGTGGTGCTATTTGAACACCGGAGACCGCGCTTCTTCCACCTCTTGGGGCTGTTCTGCGTGGCTCAGACCGGTTTCTGGGCATACTTGGCTTACTTCGGCTTCACTACCTTGCGGGACATCAGACAGACCAACAAGGAAGAGAACGAAGAGGTGAAGGGAAGAAACATGGGCTCCCCCTTGTGGAGGACGGCTTTCACTCTGGGTTGCTTGTCAGTAGGTATGTCATTCTGTCTGCTGCTGTGATTGAGGGTCAGAGTGACAACCAGGCAAATAGTATTTACAGAGGTCAGCACGTTACAGCTTACATGTTTCTCTCCTGACTTTAACCCCTTCATGACTGAGGCCTTTTTTCCATTTTTTGCACCCATGTTATATTCCACATTTTAGGCCTGAAAATTACTTAAAACCCCCAAACATTATATTTTCTGAATGCCAAGACCCTATAGAATAAAATGGTGGTAGTTGCAAGTTGCAGATCGCACTTCAATAACTTATAGCTGGGCTGCAGAAGCCCACAACTGACAGCCCAGGGAGTGGAAGTGATGCAATCTGCATCGCTCCCGTTCCCATAGAACGGGGAGGGGGATCGATGAACGGAAGTTCGTCGCCCTCCTCCCCGCGGACACCAAGGACGCCGGTACCGGGCCCGTAGGAGGGGCAACGTAGGAGGGGCAACGGAGCCCGGGAAGCACGGCAGGGGTGTCCGGCAAGGGGGGGGTGACCCCTTCTTCGGGACACAGAAGCGATCTGGCGACAGGTAAGTCGCCAGAATCGCTTCTGTTGTAAAGGCAATAGCCGCCGGTAGTCTGTTTAAACAGCCTCGATGCTGGCGACGTACACTGTACGTCGTCAGTCACGAAGGGGTTAAAGAGGAATTCCACCCACCTAAACGACTCTCCCCCCCACTTACCTTCGCTGGTTTGACTGTCCAATAATCAACCTCTTGGATTATGTGACATCACTTATCTAAGAACACATTGCTCTCCACCCTTCATAGCGTGTAAATAGACCCGGCTCCAGATCTCTGGTGCTGGGTCTATTTACGTGGATGGAAAGGATTCTCCTGGAATATGTGATGCCGTTCTCCCAGGAGGCTTCTGTAGTAATATGAAACCTCATTCTTACCTAGACTCCATTGCTCAGATGAAAATTCAATCAGTGGTACCCTGTAAAAGAAGTGATTTAATATTTACTCTTCCAGCATGGAGACCATTTTGTGCTCACTGCCAGGCTTGTGGGCGATCTGTTTCCCCGGGGTCTGTGGTTCCTTCCTCCAGTTACTGTGTCCTGCAGAGATATAGTGGTAAGCGGGTATAACCACAGCGTCCAGCAGAAGACAGGCTATTCAACACACACAAAAGTGTCACATCATTGGCACTACAAAAGAGCAAAGAATGGATTTGCACCGCACCAGACAGGAAGTATTAAAGTGAAACTAAACGTCAAACAAAAAACACTTCTACCATAAATATCTATCTGCTAGAAGAGACTCTGTATGTCTCTTCAGCCATAAAATCTGACAGCCATGCATGTCCAGCTCAGTGTACTATCCTGAAGCACGTGCTGGGATGAATGAATAGTTTTGTGCATGCATGGTGGTTACATCAAAACGACCAGAGACGCCTGAAGCCAGGGAGAGGATGAAAGCACCAGCAATGAGGGAAATCATAGACGCCACAGCGCTGGAGGGGAGGAGACACTTAGCCTAATTGATCTACCATAATGTGCAAATATGCTGTGAGGTCAAAAAAAACTTTCAGCCCCATAGAAGTTTTTGCCATGTACGAACATTATGGCAAAAGCTTCTGTAAGGTTGAAAGTTTAATTCTGTTCAGGGTACCACTATATGAAATGTATTATCCAATCAACAGAGTCCCTTTAAAAAGGATTCCAAAAAGAGGTGCTGGGAGTTTTTAATTCTCTTATGAGCTTACCACTGGTTGGGCAGCACCAAAAAGATTTTCCTCAATGAAAATACGGAAGACTCAGAAATAGCAAACAAGTATCCGAGTCCATTAAAAAAAAAATATTGTTCACAATTCAAGTACAACAAAACGTTTCAGTCCTTTTATGTAGATCTCTGTGGCCATCACTGTATTTGTTGCATTTTCTTAGCTCTGAGGAAGAGGAAAAGATTTGCCCCCGAAACACGTTTGCTTTACTGATTGAATTGTGAAGAATACATTTTTTTTTATGGTCTCTGAGACTTGTTTGTATTGGTGCCTGGTTCTGTTCACCTTTTAAAAAGGATGTCCATGTTGGGTGGGGGCTTATGGAGTCATTTTCTCCTCAGCCTCCTTTCCCTTCAAAAAGGTAATCTGGGTCAGAGAGCATTACACGCTCCAGACAAATGTAGACTTTTGAGAGGATTTTTCTTTTGTAAATGTTTTATTATTTTTAAGAAAAACGGAATACACACATTTCATGAAATCACGTAGGATAGTACCATCATATATTCACGATCCAGATTAATAAAAGATCCATGACATACACAGTCTGAGCACAAATTGAGAGGGGATGTTTTCTGTCCATACATTCCTATGGTCAGAAAACTACAAACCTCAACTGTCTTATCAGGTTTTAGCTGAGGAGACATGGATTTCTTTTTTTAATCTCCCCAGTAGGACTGTATTGGGCATTGAGGGTTAATTACAGAGTTGTTGGGCTGCTGCTTCAGTTCTAAGGCAATACATCTCATCATTCTAACACAGCTAAACAACATGCTTCTTACTGCACAATGAAAGCAGGAGGGATCTGGGATTATAACTCCTGATGATTCCTCCTATATGTCTGACATTAGTTCTTCTAAACTTCCGGTGAGTATGCCTCAGCAGCCTCCCTAATGGGGCACCATAACACCCGCTGATGTGGCTACAGTTATGGCACTGAGATCAGGGCCATGCCCCCTTAGTAATGAGGTGAAGCCAAGATCAGAGGCACACGATTTTTATGTGATAGTTAACACCTTGCACTTTCTGCAGTTAACCTCTTCCTGACCGATAACGGAATAATTCCGTCACGCAGGAAAATGAGCGCTGGTCCATGGGGAGACCAGTGCTCACGGGGTTAATGCTGTTGCTAGGTCTCTTGGTGTCTGAGGCAGACCTTCAACAGCAAATTAGGGGGTGCCAGCACTGTGTTCACTGCAATAGCTAAAAAAATAAGAATTTCTATGTACATGTGTCACATTAAATTAAAGCCCACTTTGTCCTTTATAAACAGTATAGAATATGTGTAGGTGCAATGAATGAGGAAGAAGGAAATGATGGTTAAACACATAGGAACAATGACAACTTTCTCCGGTCCCCAGCAACAACAACATTTTCTGAAGCTGTGTCACTAAGGGGTTAAGGAGGCTTTTAAACGTGAAATGGCTGGCAGGTTGGCTGTAAAAAAAATAAAATATATATATTCACTTGTTTAATTCATAATTTCAATGCCACAGCCCTCCAGAGCTTTGACTCTAGGTTCAGCCAATTTCAATCTTCACTTTTTGTGGCATGTGTTGTACCCACAGAGGAAAACGAACACCCAGGTAGAGTGCAGTACAAAGGAAAGCAGGACCTGGAAGTATACAGTACAGCATTTTAGCTTTAGAATAAAGGAATGGATGTATGTTGCATATATGACAGTCATGGTTGTTGATTGGACTTGTACTCTATGCCGATGACACTCAAATCTATCTTTCTACTCCACTACTCTCCCCCTCAGTGTCCTTGCGTGTCACTAATCTACTAACTGACATATCAGTCTGGATGTCACAACGCTTCTTAAAATTCAACCTTTCAAAAACTGAGCTCATGATATTTCCTCCCGCCCGCGCACCTTCCCCCAACTTTTCCCTTGAGATTGATAACACAACTATCCAACCCACCCCCCATGCCAAGGTGCTAGGTGTCATCCTGGACTCGGACCTCACCTTTCTGCCCCACATCTAATCACTGTCTAAATCCTGCCACCTTCACCTTCGTAACATCTCCAAAATACGCCCCTTCCTCACCAATGAAACCATAAAGCTACTCATCTACTTACTGGTTATCTCTCGTCTTGACTATTGCAACTCCCTCCTCATTGGCCTACCACTACACAGGCTACCCCCCCTTCAATGTATCATGAATGCTGCTTCTAGACTCATTCACCTGACCAACCACCCAGTGTCTGCAACCCCCCTCTGTCAATCCCTCCACTGGCTTCCAATAGCCCAAAGAATAAAATTCAAAATATTAACAACCACTTACAAAGCCATCACTAACCTTGTCTCAAAGTATCACCCTAACCGTCCCCTCTGCTCTTCCGAAGACCTCCTGCTTTGCAGCTCCCTTATCAAGTCCTCCCATGGTTGCCTCCAGGACTTCTGTAGAGTCTCTCCCATCCTGTGGAACTCTTTACCCCAACCTGTCTGTCTATCTCCTACTCTGACTGCCTTTAGGTAATCCTTAAAGACTCATCTCTTCAGGGAAGCATATCCCACCTCAAACTAACCACTCAACCATCACGTTCTCAAACAATTCATCCCCTCACAGCTACCTCCTCACGTACCACTTGTCCCTCCCTTTTAGATTGTAAGCTTTCAGGGTCAGGGCCCTCCTAACCATCTTGTCTTGAATTGTGTTGTGATTGAATTGTCTTCCTTATATTGTAAAGCGCTGAGCAAACTGTTGGTGCTATATAAATCCTGTATAATGATGATGACAATATAGTAAGAAAATGGTGCTTTTATCTTCGTAGAATGTCAGTTGAGTACTTTTGGAACTGTATCTGCGGTTTGGTAGGGAATATTCCTTCCACCAAATATTGTACAGTAGGTTGCGTTGGCTTAAAGGGTAATGTGCCAAGATGCTGTCTGCATATTTTGTAGGAAATGAACATGGTTGTCTGACCCTGTTGGTTGTTTAACCATTTGACATCCGCGGTGTTAAACCCCCTTCCCATCCAGGCCATTTTTCAGTATTCAGCGCTGCGGTACTTTAACTGACATTTATTCCGTCATGCAGCGCTGTACTGAAATGAATTTTATACCATTTTTTGGGGACAGATAGAGCTTTCTTTTGGTGGTATTTATTCACCACTGGGGGTTTTATTTTTTTACTATATTAAGGAAAAATTACCGAAATTTTTTTTTAAAAAACAGTTTCCCCTATATTAAATGATTAAAACATTTATTATTACCCAATTTTTTGGTAAAATATAAAAGACGGGGTCACGTCGGGTAAAAAGACACCAAACGTGTCGAGCCTTAAAATTGCGTGCGCGCGCGAAACCTCAAAAAATGATAATACCTAAAATTGGCCATAGGCGACGCTTTAAAAGCT